GTCGTAGGCCTACTTATCACATGCTCTAAATCCCCCTTGTAGACATGAACTTCAAACAACCCTGCTTCATCGGCATAGGAATTCCAAAGTCCAGTATTCCAAAAACTAGGGACCTGACCAAACAAGGCATGCGAAGGAGGCACGTAGCGATCAATAAGCATCGGGTGCTCAAGCAGAAAGCCAACCTCAAGCCTAGTAACTCCAGCTGGCGGCCTAACCTTGCGACCTGCAGTCGCCACAGCATGCAACCAAATCTGTCGGCAAAGCAAAGCCGTTTCACGATCAACCTTCGACCGTTGTGCTGCTGACAAATCTGGAAGGCCATATAAGTCCAATGGCCCGCGCACAGGTGGGACAACGCTACTCCCATGAGCATGTGTGTCAAACGTACCACGCGGTGGAGCACCAAGAAGATGCGACACTTTGCCATGCACGGCACCCCAAACTAGAGCGCGCCAAGCAGGAGTGCGTAGCACATCTTGGTCTGAGCCTCTGGTAATGTCCAATTCCAGGACAGCCACATTCTTGGACTCAAGGTGCGAAAAGGGTTTAGGGCCTGGGGCTCCAGCGTACAGATGAACAATCCACTCTGGGGCATTGAGCAATGCACGACGGCGACGCCGATTGAGATGCGTCAAACCCTTTAGGAGCTCCCATCCTGAAACCTGAGCAACATCCTCAACAAGTCCCTGCAAAGCTGCTTGGGGAACATCTGCCAAGAAAGGCGCGGCCTGCAACGCTAGTTGGGCTGAATTGGTAGATCCAAGGCTCACATAGTCCTGCATGTGATCCCACCAGCTCTTTGACATCAAGGCTTTGACAGCTCGGATGCGAGAGGTACCTTCGGCCACATTCGCCTCCAGAGACTTCAAGTCCTCTAGCCGCTTTTCTTCTAGCTTGCTGATTAGCACCAAGGCTTCTGATTCCATGATCTCTGGACACCCACCTTTAACCCTCAAGCGAAAGGCACGACCCGAAGGAGCAATCAAACGGCATCGCGAGGCAGTCCAATCCAAACGATACCCCAGCTGCTGGATGACAGAACCCAGCGGCACGATGGTTTGGGCACTAGATGTGGGAGGCAACAGAAGAGTACCAGCAGCAGACAAACGCATAGCCGAAGTCTCCTTTCCAGCCAGTGACACGACAACGGGTTGCGCACTAGCCCATTCAGCTTCGGAACTTGCAGCGCGAAGGGCATGAGTGGCCCCACTGTCTACCAAAGCCAAAAAACTAGGACTACCATCTACTTCCAAAACCTGCCCAGGCTCAATGGCTGTGAGATGGATGGTCTTGATGCTCGGCTTAGGCTCCTCCTGCGCTGCAGGTTTGTCTTCAATCGCCGGAGGCTGCGCGGGAGCGGCTGGGGTGGATGCAGGAGGAAAGGCTTCGGAAGAACTGGCAGCTGCAAACATCATGCGCATAAACGCTGTGAAGTCCTCCGCTCGGCCTGGGCTCGCGCCCGGCTGGATTGCAGTAGACGCCTGATCAGCCGTTGTAGGCCTGTGGCCTGCAGCATTGTTGGTGTTTCCTCCACCTGGCTGTCCTTTCCCCTTTGGGCTTCCTCCAGCTACCGGGCAGTCCTTTTGGCGGTGTGCCTCAGAGCCACATGCTAAGCACTTTTTGCTGCGCTCCTGACGAGAAAGTCCTGACATGTCGTGGCTAAACGTGCACTTAGGACCCCGCCTACACCCCGAAGTACCCATGAAAAACTTGCAGGGCTTTGAAGCCTGCGGCTGCCCACTGGCCTTTGGAGATGTTCCCGGACTGGGCGTGCCTACAGCTCGAACCTTAGGGGCACTCACACCTGTGGCCTTAGAGACTGCAAGGGCTTCCATCTCTGCAAGCAAGTGCTTGTGGTACTCCAGGACTGCAGACGAAGTTGGTTGAGCATCCATTTTTAACATGGAACGAAGCATAAACGTTCGAAACTTCGCTTCTTCATGCTGCGCCAAAACTTGGCTAGTGATGGTAGTGAGGCTCTTGGACAAAATGGTCGAGTCCGGAGGTGACATGTTGCAACTTTCACAGCGATTGTACCAACGAATCCACTCACGCAAAGACTTCACGGCTGAGGAGGGATCAGATGCTGGAGTGGGCTGCATGAGATTCTTCTGAATAACCTCCTTTTCTGAACCTCCACCTGGTTGGTACGTGGTGTGCAAACGGAAAAGGATGGAAGGAGCTGATTGATTGCATTTGCGGGCCACAATGTCTGCTTTGATAGACTCTGGAACTGCCGCCATAAGCATACTACAGATCCTAAAGTTGACACGCGCCCATCGCCCTTGAAGCAACTCAGCCGGTACAACTGGCTCAACCTTTAGCCTATCCAAGGGTGATGACGAAATCCAAACCCCATAGGCCGTATCAACCACACCCAAAACCTGACGCCACCACTCTGCTGCTGTGTCCGAAACATCACCGACCAAACCCCCAATCACAACTAACCAATCTTGGTACAGAAGAGACCCTTCATCCGAAGTGAGCTCTGCCAAAGCTGGGAAACTCGAGATGCCTGGCTTAACAGCTTCAGGGTTGGTGGGAGAATTGCCGCCATCGCGTTCGGCACGAGATCCCTTGAGCATCTCTGACATGGCATCTTGAAGTTGATGCATCCCAGCAATCAGTATCTCACGATCTGTGGGTCCTGATGCACTCGCGGCTCCTGCTGGCAGTGTGCCTCTGGGTTCTGCTTGTGGCCTCTGCGGTGCAGGGCTGGAAGACCGCGCACCGGAACCAAGGAGCCCTGAGAACAAACCAGCGAAGCCCTGAGGCTCGGGAGCGGAAGGAGGCGGAGGAGGAGGCGGTGAGGATGAAGAAGGGGCAAATCCAACCCCAGTGTTGGCGACAGGATGCGAACCGAACCCACTATCACCAAACCCACTAAAGCCAACCTCCCTAGTACCCACCTGCTGCAACGCCGTAGCCTCAACTTCACCAGCCTGCTGAGACCGAATCCTCGAGAGTTCGGCCTCAGCACGACCAGCTCTCTCTTGCTCAGCTCGCAGTTGCTGCTTCAACCCATCAAGCTGTCGCGCGACTTCTGCCTGAATCGCATCATGCGGAATAGATGAGGACTCGGTGTGCGGAGGCCTGTCCGGAGACCCGGACCCGTAGAGCAAGGGAGCTCTTTGCTCCATGGCAGCAAGCTGCTGCGCGTTGGCACCAGTGAACAACGGCATCGGCACTTGACACTCATCTTGCAGGACGCGGCCTCCTCTCTCGAGGGGCTGTAGTGGTCGCGACGGCCTTGGAGGAGAAGTCAGTGGACTGGGAGCCCACCCTTGCGGCAGTGGCTGTACGTTCGCCGCGCCACCAAACAGAGACTGCACTCTTCCTAGCAACTGACTAGCAAAAGCCTGAGCCCCAGTCTGCATGACCGCTGACGCCCCGTACGCCGTTGATCTGGGCGTTTCAAAGCCCTCAGCACTACTTCCAGGATTCGCTGCAGATGGGTTGTACCCTGAGACGCCTGCGGCAACATTGATCTGAGCGCTAGCCATTCCACTTTCGGTGGCCACACTGAAACCCTGAGTCACTGCAGTTGCATCTCCATGCACCCCACTCGCATCAGCGACCTCCGTGGTAGATACTGCTTCATACGTAACGCCAGCTGTGCCCAAGCCTCCAACCTGGCCTAGTGTTCCATCGCCTCCTGTCCTACCGACTGCTGAAACTCTCGGTTGGCCGGCTGTTCCAACAGTTTCTTGTGGCAGCTGAGGGGATGGCACTGGACCAGCTGTGGAAGTCGATGGCCCCGACGACGCATCCATCATAGTTTGCTGGATTCCATCCCCAATAGGCTGCGCAAGCCCAGAGGGCGATGGCACTCCAACTCCGGCGGTTGTACCATTCACTGTAGTCTGCGGTGCATCCCCGCCTCCCCGCACTCCAGGCAGAGAGGCCGGAGAAGCCACCGCTCCGGTTGCTTCTGGCCCAGGCGTTGGGCTCATCACCTGTTGAAGGTGTTCACCCTGGGTGGCCATACCCTGCAGCGAAGCTCACGCAGAATGTTTTCTATGGCTGGGCGCAGAGGCGACTCACGATCTCAACGAAGCAACAAGAGAACCGACAAACCAACAAACGACCTGTACAGCTTTACAAGTTGTTGGTTACAGTACACATGGCTCAAGAGGCTTTCCTACGCAGCCTTCCCCTAAGCCAAAGGATACAGGAAACACACATGTACAAGCCTACCTGAAGGAAACTATACAAGTGCCGGCAATCCCTTCAAGCAGACTACACACCTGTCTAACCTGATACCTGGGCATGCAGTGAGAAGCATTTCAACAGAACCCCTAAAGGATCCCTCTTTTAGGGTCCCCTATTCTCGGAAACCCCCCCACATTACCTGCTATAGACCGTGCAGCCCAGGACCTGAGCCTTCTAAAACCCTTAGCCCTCAACCCTTGGCCCTAAACCCGAATAAGGGGGTTTAGGGTTTAGGGTTTTGGGTTTAGGGTTTAGGGTTTAGGGTTTTGGGTTTAGGGTTTTGGGTTTTGGGTTTTGGGTTTTGGGTTTAGGGTTTAGGGTTTAGGGTTCGAATATAGTAGAAGTCACCGTGCAGGGGTTTAGGGGTTCCTTTAAAGGGATCCATAAGGCTCCCTTTTAAGGGAGCTAGAAGGGTCCCTTTAAAGGGATCCATAAGGGCCCCTATTAAAGGGAGCTATAAACGGTCCTATACATGGGTTTAGGGTTTAGGGGTTCCTTTAAAGAGATCCATAACAGTCCCTTTACAGTAGAAGCCAGAAAGTTGGAATATCATTATCCTAACCCCTTTAAGGTAAATTATAGGGCATCCTACCATTAATCCATATTCCAACTTTCTGGAGTTCCCTTTAAACCCTTAGACCAGAACCGTAAACCCTACACCCTAAACCCTTAGACCAGAACTGTAAACCCTAAACCCTAAACCCTTAGACCAGAACTTTTAACCCTACACCCTAAACTAGAAACCCCGGGCCCCACCCTCAACCCTAAACCCTAAGCAAACTCAGGTCTTCAGTCCCGATGGGCATGTCAAGAAGGCACGCGCAGTGTCTAAGGGTTTAGGGTCTAGAGGGTTTAGGGTCTTGGGTTTCAGGGGTTTGAGGGTTTTTCAGGGATTTAAGTTTAAGGCTGTCGGGGTTTGGGGGTTTAGGGGTTGAAGGATTTAAGGTTTGGGGTTTGGGGTTACGGTGTGCGCACGGGCAGAAAAACTTCAAACACAGTCTAGCGAGATTCTGAGCGCATGTGGTTAGGCATATGTGTACAGTGGCACCCCGAATGCAGGTCGCTAGGCATTCTGATAAAGAGGGATCCCTAGGTGGGTTTTCAGACATGTTCCTACACCAGACATCTTCCTACACCAGTTTAGATGGAAGCCTGATACAGGTTGGGATTTTCCTGACCCAGTACGGAGGGATCCTGAATGTGGTTATATGGAGGGTTAACCCTAAACCCTAAACGTTCAACTAAACTCTAAACCTCAGCCTTAAGCCCTAAGCCCTACCTAAACCCTTGGGCTGTAGGGTTACCCTGAGTACAGAGAGGGCAAATCCTCGGAATGGCAGGGCTTAAGGGTGCGCAGGCTTTAGGACCTTACCCTGGGCATCCAAGGACTCATATATTGCAGTAGAAGCCAGAAAGTTGGAATATCATTATCATAATCCCTCTAAGGTAAATTATAGGGGGATCCTGCCATTATTCCTTTTAAGGCTTTGGGGCCCAAAGACCATACTAAGGCTGTTGGGCTATTTTGACAGGGTTAGGGCTGAAAAGGTTAGGGCTTTTGCAGGCTCTAGGGCTGAAAGGCGCAGTGTTTCTTACGCGTTTTGTGTGGCTGTCCTTAAAGGATCATGGGACTTAGTAAGGGTCCCTTTAAGGGATCTATAGGGTTCCTTAAAGGGATCTACAGGGTTTAGGGTTTACTTAAAGGATCATGGGACTTAGTAACTAGGGTTATACTTAGGGTAACTATACTTATAACCCCAGTTAGGGTACTTATAACCTTACTTACTAGGTCCCACGATTCTCCAAGTAGAGTGTGTGTGTGTGTGTGTGCTCAAGGATAGAGGTTCAGGGGACAACGAAGGAGGCAAGAACACCGCAATCGGGTCACCTGTGGAAACAGATTTAATTTAGAACTCGTATGTCATTCTGCTTGCGTTCCCTGTTCCGAGGTAATGCCAAACCACACGAAAAAATCCTGAACCCTTGAGGGAGCTCATCAAAGAACACGAAAAGGAATCTCTAAGCCCTACTTGCTACGGCACCTTATCCTCTATGTCAACCGTAAGTAAGCTATCCGAAAGCCCCCTAAACCCAATGTGCAGGCACCCAGCATTGTCGGAGAATAGGTTCCCAAACTTTCAGACTTGGGTGCTGAGGGTTTAGGCTTCGAGGTTTAGATTTGGATTTCGAAGTCCACGGCACCTGAACCTCAAACTTCCTAAACCCTAGAGCCTAAACCCCTAAGCCAACCCTAAACCGTATAAGCCCCACAAGCCCTATAAGCCCTATAAGCTCTAGTTGCTTCCCGAGCAGCCTTGGGTTGGGTCTTGGTCCCATAGACCTTTCGTGAAGCCGGTGGGAGGTGTCGGTTCAATGTGGAAACGCCGCGCCCTCAGGGGTTCCTTGTCGGTCTACTGAGGTCCTCAACCCCGAAACCCAAACCCTAAACCCCTCCTGTAAGGACTAGTAGTTTACACTCCCGGAACCCTAAACCCTCAAGACCCTAAACCCTTAAATCCCTAAACCCCAAGACTCCCGAGCCCAAAAAGAGCAGTTTTGCCGGCGACGAATCGGATCCTCTGTGGCCCTCTGCAGCGTGCCAGCTATAGGGTTTAGGGTTTAGGGGTTTGGGGTTTAGGGTTTAGGGGTTTAGGGGTTTGGGGTTTAGGGGTTTAGGCTTTTAAATTTACAGTTTAGGGTTTAGGGTTTAGGGGCTTTGGGTTTAGGGGTTTAGGGGTTTAGGGTTCACGGGCATAGGGTTTAGGGCTTAGAGTTTAGGGCCAAAACCTTAAACCCTAAACCCCACATCCTAAACCCGAAGCCCCAGACACCCTACACCCCTCAGGGGGGTTATGAAGCTGAAATCGTTCCAAACCCCCGAGCCTTAACACTCAGGAGCCAACACATAGCTCTTAAACTTAGTAGCTGAGTAGGTAACCTTTAACCTTTTGGGGTTTATAGAATCCTACTATAACTCCAAAGGTTAACCTTTTTTGGGCTAGGGTACTCGGCCCCTAAGTAAATTTCAAGACCTAAGCGTTGGATATATGTATTGCCGCCACCCCGTAACAGTGGAATGACAGTCATAATTGGGTAGTTGTCAAAACTAGGGTCCCTTTTTGGGTACCCATATTAGGTGCCGTGTTGGAAAAAGGATCCACAAATTGAAGATTGTTACGGTATGAGGGCAGTACCCTACCTAAACCCTGGACCCTTCCAAAGCCCCGAGCCCTAAGCTCTATAGACCCTAGACCCTAAACCCCAACTTTAAGCTCTACGCATATATAACGCGTTTATGAAGACCCCTAATATCAGTAGTTCTAGGGTGGGGGCAGTACCCAGCCTAAACCTTACAACGCTAAAGCCGCCCAGGATCAATCCGGCAGCTGCTTCACTGCCATGCTCGGTCGCACTTGCTAGCTTCAGTGCTCGGGAAGTTTGATACTAGCTATACGCACATATTTCTAGATATGCCTATGTACATATACATACATACATATATATATATATATATATATGCACACATGCAGGCGCCTTACCGGGACCATAAGCATTTTTTGGGTGGTAGCAGAGGCTATAAGGGGACAATGCTACCTATTACTTAGACCCCTATACTGTTACTGATTTCGAGCGTCAGGGTCTAAGAAAGGTTTTAGGTCCAGCCGCTGGAAGGCTTCATTGTCAAGGACAGGTTGAGGGTTTACAGGTTGAAAGCTTCGAGGCTTGATGCTTTCCCTGAGTGTGTGTCCTTGTAGTTCGACGACTGAGGGTTTAGGGTTCTCGGCAGAAGCCCTGCACCTTTAGGCTTATCGAAGTTCGGCTACGGCCGCAGTGCCTTACGGTCAGAAACATGGGTCGAATGGTGGCAGATCCAGGGCTGCTTGCGTCTTAATTTAGGCGCTTTTGCAGTTATATAGGCAGCTCGAACAGGGTTTTGTGGTCCATTACAGTATACCTAGATATGGACTACAAGGGTTTACTTCTACTATGTACTCCACCCCAGAATTAGATTGCTTTCTAAAAAGTTTTAGGGGTTTGGGACTTGGAAATTTCTGAAAACTAGGGTACCTTATTTTGGGGTCTTTTTTATATGGATCCTACCATGTAGGGTGCTATATTAGGGTCCCCCATTTTCGCAAACTCCCATATGACCGGGTCAAAGGGTCTTCCATGGTAGAAACCGACCGAGGGTTGTGCCGGCCGATAGCATCGTCAATTGCAAAACCGCCAATCCTGACGCATGAAAGCTGACAAGATATATCCAGAATCTGGAAGTAATAATAAAGAGCCCCAATGGGCGATGTTATTTCTTTACACTTATTATTGTATACTATGGTTCCGAGTATAAATACAAATAATATACCCCTAAGCCCTATTCTCGTAAAATAGCATTTGCTATTTTACGCAGGGTTTCAAATCCCTGAATGTTCCGTTGCCCAGACTCGAGATGCCAATGCCGAACTTATAGCTGAGTGTGGCCGAAACAGGCCATATACTGTGCCCTACCCTGCACTCCCTCATGCGTCCGATGTTGCACTGGCCAAGCAGGTGTGTCCGAATTTGGATATTGATGACATACTGAGCAGTCAGTCGCGCATAACTCCGGACTTGGTGGATGACAGCTTGTATGCTGACTTTATGTGGGAGAACGATGCAGACCCGTTTGTTACGGCTTTTCCTGAGGATCCAGTCTTTAGTGCTGCTGAGTGCATTACGAACTCACTCTTCTTTACTGAATTGGAAGCAGCCAGCTTGGATGAGCTTTACGCTCCTAAGCCTCATGGAATTTGCAGCCGTCGTCTGCTGGATACTTCCCGAGAATAACTCCAAAAGATTGGGACTTCCTACTCATACAAGGAAGAATCACCACGCAGCTGCTGAATGGGCGTTTGCTCTGGCAGAAAGTATCCTTTGTGATGCTTCAGGGTCGCCCTCGATTATGTCTGTCTTGAACGACTATCAGTCTGAGCTGACTACCGAGCTGTTGACACGGTATGCCGGCGCTTCTGAACCAAAAGCTCGTTCAGTGTATAACGTCAGCTACCCTGGGAATATACTCCTTGGGACCGTCAGTCGACCCTTTGTTACACATGTGAAACGCAGACCACATCCTCAGTTCAAAGTGTGGATTTGCTCACACACAGCTTCGCCTTGCAGCAGGGACTAGAAGCCATTTGGTTTAGGATTGTAGGGTTTTGGTCTTAGACTTTAGGGTTTAGGTTTTTTGGGTTCATTGCTCTGGGTGTAGAGTTGAGGGTTAAGTTTAGGATTTAGGTTCGACCACTTTGCTTCAGGGTTTAGCGTTGATCTTTCAGCATTGGAAGTGGCTCGGATGTCCGCGGTAGCAGGTCCTGAACTTCTGAAATAGCCTAAATCCCAAACCCTAAACCCTAAACCCTAAACCCCAAACCCCAAACCCTAAACCCTAAACCCTAAACCCCAAACCCTAAACCCCAAACCCTAAACCCCAAACCCTGAACCCCAAGCCCAAAACCCTATGTGGTCTCTTTGGAGTTTCATCTTCGGGACTTCCGGACTTGCTCAGCACTGCCTGAAGGACCAAATGACCCTTAAAAGTAGGGGCCCTATACCCATATACCATCAATGCCTATATGGTATATGAACCATAAACCGTTTTAGGGTTCATTTCGTCCTTAAGGTGAAGCCCTTAATTCCTTCAGCAAGCCCTCAACTCATAAACCCTTCAACTACCTCCCTTGGTATTTGGATTTGGGTTAGACCCCTAAGCCCACACGGCCCAGAGCCCAAAAGCTTCAAACTCAGCACGGCTTCCCAAAAAAGCAGAAACACAAGCAAACACACAGGAAGAAAGAACAATCGAGAACAACCGTAGGCACAGTCCTGTACTCTTTCTTCTTGGCCTTGCGCCAGGTAGTACATCAAACTCAGTAAGTTCAGAAGTGATGCTCGTCATCCAGCGGGGGCCTTAAGCAAAGCCGTTGGTTCTAGGATTTGGTCGGGCTTTTGGCTGTGGGGTTAAGGCTTTGTGGTTTTCGTCAGCAACAGCAGAATGACCTTGACCACTTCGGAGGACCGCCTGTCAATGTTACCGACGCGTCGCCGCCTGCCTCCTTCGCCGCCACCACGACACACCAACTCCAGCACCAGCACCAGCTCCAGCACCAGCACCAGCACCACCACGACCTTCAGAATCACCAACACCTTCACCGTAAACATTCTGGGCATCATGATCATGAAGGTCTTCATCGCCATGGCCATTACAAGTGAATATGATCGTCATTCTTCTGTGGACCACCGGCACACTCGGTACAAATGTAGGAACAAGCGCATGAGGAGCTGCAGCATAATATTCGACCGGCAGAGCAAAAGTGGTTATGGTGATGCGACTGGTGTTGTGATGACGGCGATGAAGAAGGCATTCTAGCTGCACCATGCCACTATTAACGATCACGACCAAGCAGGTGGAGACACATAGCACTGGGAGTAGTGATATAGAGATCACCATGGGCGGCGGTTGTGGTGATGTTTATGCTGGTAACGATGTTTGCAGTTTCAATGAGAACGAGGGGTTCATGGTCTTGATACGACAGTAAATGACAGTAACAAAGAACTTCTTCGTGGGCTGATGAGGTTGATGTTGCTTGTCTTGCTGTTGTCGTCGTTCTTGCTGCGGCTGCTGCTGCAGGTACGGCGATGACCACCATAATGATGACCATGTTGCCGATGATGTCGAATAGGATGGTAGTGATAGTGATGCTGATATGGATGAAGATTATGTGGAATAGCGCAACGACGATGGCTCCGTCAACCCTAAACCCCAAAGTCTGCAGCGCACCCTCGCCTGTATCCCAGATACCAAAATTAAAACCCCAGGGTTTTTGGCCCCAAGCCTTGCGCCTGAGAGGTCTTCCGTGTGGATCAACTTTGTCCTCATGTTATGCAAGTTGCACCTGGACTTACAACGTGTTGTATACATGGGTAAGGCTTTGGGCTTGCTTGCGGCTGTACGCATGCAGATTCAGGGGACTTTGATAAGCACTTTCTTTAGGTGCAGATTGTTGTGGGGTCAGGCTTGTTGTAGGACCTGTGCTTAGGACGTAAGGCTTCCCTGTGGGCAGTTTCGCTGGCAAGCTCCTAAACCGAGGTATTTCAATAGACGTCCCTAACCACCCAATCAGGCCGAGAAAGTGAAGTGCAAGGCTGAACTAATCTTTGACTCGGACAGTCCCCCAGTTTGACTGGCCATGCAATTGTCATGAGAAGTAAAGCGGGCAGTACGACGTCGTCACCCTGATAAGGCAACATTACAAGGAGCACAACTGAAGCCATTAGCGCACTCAGCTGTAGCACGATGCATGGCAGCAGCACATATTGGTATTGCGCGCTTCGCGGACACTGTAATCGTCGTCGTCGTGGCGGTCGTCGTAGGTTCGTAGATGGAAGGAGCAGCATCAAGAGTCGCAGCCGGCAGTGGTGATGGTAGCAGGTAGCAGGCAGCAGGCAGCAGGCAGAGGCAGCAGCGGGCAGCAGGAGTAGAGTAGGAGTAGGAGTAGTAGGAGTAGTAGGAGTAGTAGGAGTAGTAGGAGTAGTAGGAGTAGTAGGAGTAGTAGGAGTAGTAGGAGTAGTAGTAGTAGTAGTAGTAGTAGTAGTAGAAGTAGTAGTAGTAGCAGTAGTAGTAGTAGTAGCAGTAGTAGAAGTAGTAGTATGATACCGGTAGCACTACTGTGTTGTATGTAGTACACAAGACACGGTACATAGTATTTGCGGCAGAAGCAGGCGAATCTGGAACGCAGTATACAAGCGGTCCCAGAATTTGCAGTGTAGTTTTGTGCTCACGGTACCTGGCCGCACTTTGCCAGCATCATCGCCTTAGCTGTTGAGCTATCGCTGAGAATTGAATTCCTAAACCCCAAAACCCACAGGCTTAAACCCTAAGCCTAAACCCCAACGTCTACACCCTAAACCTGAACATCTAAACCCTACAGCCCCAAACCCTAAAACCCAAAATCTTAACCCGAATAGAGAAGCCCTAGCCTCCATACCCTAAGCCCTAAAGCCCTAATCACCCTAATCACCCTAAACCCCTGAAACCCTGAACCCAAAACTCTAAGCCCAAGCCCTAAAGCCGTAATCCCTAAACGCCCTAAACTTCCAGCAGGGTTTTTGGCAAGGAGTTGCCATCCTGGGTTTCTATAGTAAACAATATGGTTTCCGTATGATAGTAGCTTCAATTAACTTGTTTGCTGCAAACTCAACTTGTCATCTTTTGGGGTTCTTAGATTGTAGTCGATTCTGAAAGGTTCAACTTTTATTTCCTTGGGTTTTGAGCCAGTGAGTTAAATCCCTTAACAAGACCCTAAACCTTTAATCCCTAAACCCTAAGCCATTAAATTAAATCCCTTAAAGGGAACTCCAGAAAGTTGGAATATGGTTTCATGGTAGGATCCCCTATAATTTACCATAGAAGGGTTAGGATAATCATATTCCAACTTTCTGGCCTTTATCTTAACAAGAGCCAGTGAGTTAAATCCCTTAAAAAGACCCTAAACCCCCTAAATTAAATCCCTTAACAAGAAAAGGTACACCTTCCTCGTCTCTGGCTCGCTGGCTGTCTTGGCTTCGCTGGTAGACTCCATCATCGTCGGGGGCCTGGGTTTTTTGATTCAGGGGTTATAGGGGTTTAGGGGTTTGGGGTTTAGGGTTATTCCGGGTTTAGGGTTATTCTGGGTTTAGGGGTTAAGGGTTTTGGGTTTTTGGGTTTAGGGTTCAGGGTTTAGGGTTTAGGGTTTTGCGTTTTAGGCCTCCAATTGCCTCAGGACACCTGGAAGTTGACAAGTTTCACGTCTTTCGAGGATTTCCAACTCGAGGGCCGTATAAACTTCGGTGATAGGGCTTAGGCGTATAGTATACCTAGGATAATATAGTATATTATGATATTATAGTGTATTGTAGTATATCATAATACATTATAGTCATAGTGTACTAGTTGTGTTCTTTTGTTTGAGCGCTCCTGGCTGGGGGATATGTTGGCCCTAGCTTAGCTTGCAGCCTACGGATGGGGTCTTTTCGATTTCGATGTTAGGCTAGGCAGACGGATCGGGACACCTAATGTTAGTAGGGACCTTGTTTGTTAGAATGGTGTTTTGGGCGGGTTCCTTATTAGTAGAGTTTTTCACAAAAACCATCTTGATTTTACTAAGGCCCCTCTTTTTAGCCGGTAGGCTTGTAACCAGTCACGACGTGTTGGGCATCCCCTGCTCCGATCCTCCGAGTGCATCAGGAGATTAGTAATCACTCAGGGCTCGGAAACCCTAAACCCTAGATCCTAAACCGACCTGCTGAACTCCAATCAAAGGACTTAGAATCCTACTCTCGAAGTCCCCCGAAACCCAAAGATCCACGAAGCACGCTTAAACCCTATGTTTCCTTCGTGAAACCCCTGCCCTTACGGAATCTTTAGAAGAACCTTAGTATAACCCTGCTCCTAAACCCAAACCCTCAACCGTACTTCTTAAGCCCTGAAACCTCCGAGACCACCGTCAGGACCTGCCCAAAGCCTATTCTCGAAACCAAACGGGGTTTAGGGTTTAGGGGCCTCGGGTTTAGGGTTGTTTTTTTGCTGGTTTCCGCCAGGCCAAAGCATGAAGCCCTGTGCTGTAGCACTCTTCAGCTTCCCACAAACACCAGGTTGACAAGAATGAGATCGAAGAAAAACCTTTAACCCTAGACTCCACTTTCCTCCCGACGAAAACAAGGCAACAGAAGAAAACGTCACTCAGAAGTCTCCCCCTCCCCGTTTCTTCAAACCACTAATCGAAGCGGCAAAAACACGGCAACAGGAAAACCGAAGCTTTGCTGAGGACCTTTTAGGGCAGGGAGCCCTAATGCCGCCGCCTGAGCGTTTGAAATGGGTGTTGCAAAGATTGGGTTTAGGGTTTAGGGTTTAGGGTTTAGGGTTTAGGGGTTTAGAATAATATAGGGGCCTAAATAATTACCAATATTATGGTGGGGGGTTCCTTATTATGATTATAGTATAATGGGCCCCAAAACCCTATTCTAATTATTAGGGCCCCTACATTATGGGGTTTTTGGCTGTGCGATTCAGGGTTTAGGATTGGCATGTGGGCTTCGGGTTGCAGGGTTAAGGGTTCATCAGGCCTGTACCAGGCTTCGGGTGAGATTCCTTTTGGGTGGTACACCGATTTGGGGTCGTTTTTTCTTGGGGGATTTCTTGCACTTTGCTGTAGCATTGTGCTGAACAGGGTTTCGTACTTCTCCGTTGTTGGATGGACAGAATCATTAGTCATTAGGACGAACTACTTCATGCATTAGGACGAACTCCTTTAGACAACTGTAGTATGACGACCCCCTAGGCAAAAAAACAAAAAAACAGTCCAACAATTCAGGCCACATTTTGCGGTTCGGGAGGGTGTCGGTTCTGAGCTGAGGTAATGAAACGGCTGGATGGGTTCAGGGTTTAGGGTTCAGGGTCTAGGGTTTAGGTAGGCTTGTGGTTCCACTGGGCTATAAACTTGCCCCAATCTCTACAACCTACCCAAACCCTATACCTAGATTTGATGCTTCGGAAGAGCTGTTAAGCTTAAGAGTCAAGAGTCAAGAGTGTTTTGAGAGCTTAGCCGTTTGATGCATTTTCCGTAACGGTCTTTTGAACATCCTGTGATGGATTAGAAAAGTCGACTTAGGAAGTTGGGGTATGGATACCATTATCGCGGTCATAAGCGGATGTAGCTATATGTACTTCACTTAGAGCCCTACGTAGCAATTCCACTGAGCCTCCAAGTACCCGTCTAAAGCCTCTCCAACATTCTCTGAGCTGTAGACCCTAAACCCTAAACCCTAAACCCTGAACTCTCAACCCTAATGCTAAACCTAAACCCTAAATGCAGCGATCGGTTCTGCATGAAGGTACCTGTAACCTGTAGCACTACTTACTAGCTCCTGTGAAGCTCTGAGCGCTTGCAGGCTACATGAAACATCTGGACGCGCATAGAAAGGCGAAGCATAGTCCGTTCTTGTGTATTTTTGGATCCCGGCAGGGGGCTGCAGTTGGGGGTTTGGTGTTCATAGCAGGCCTTGTTGAGCACCCCAGACCCTACTGTAATCCCCGACACTTGAAACCCAAGCCCTAAACACCAAACCCCGACTATTAGGCCTTGATGGATGTTTTCCTTGCTAGGTGGGCAGACGTCAAAAAGGAGTTTGAAAAAACTGAGTATTAGCATCGCTTCACAAAGCCGTTACGTAATCCCAGTAATTAGTATCCCTTATAAACCCTTGCAGAACCAGGTTGACCAGCTTCTTGGCACGTCAATCGGGTCGCGAGGAGAAGCTCAGCTGCTCTAAGAGAGCCACGGTTTAGGGTTTTAGGGTTTAGGATTTAGGGGGTCGTTCGACGGCGCAGCAAACGGGCGTGAAGAGTTGAAACCCATAGTGGTAAGGGTTTAGGGTTTAGGGTCGATGATGCCATCGGTTATTTTTCCTTCACACGAAGTTTCTATTATACGGGATTCGACACCTGGGACCCAGAGTAGGCCCTTATTCCCTTTTTAGTGTTGAGGTTCCATTACAAACCCCCTTTAAACCAATAAGGGCACCCTTTTAATTCCTAGGCTACTCGTGGGTCTAGGCACAGAAGCCTGAATGATTACTATTCCTCAGAGCCGCTTGCTGTCACCAGACTATAATACACCACCGACGCGAACCTGAACCCTAAACCCTAAACCCCTAAACCCCTAAGCCCCTAAACCCTAAACCCTAAACCCCTAAACCCTAAACCCTAAACCCTAAACCCCTAAACCCCTAAACCCTAAATCCTAAACCCTAAACCCCTAAACCCCTAAACCCTACATCCCTAAACCGTAACACCTGTACGAAGGCCCCTAATTCCTTAGTCGGTTTCCAGGCCCATGAAAGCTCCACGTCGGATCCGGGAGTGGGGATTTAGGGTTTAGGGATTTAGGAATTAGGGATTTAGGGTTTAGAGATTTAGGGTTTAGGGATTTAGGGTTTAGGGATTTAGGAATTAGGGATTTAGGGTTTAGGGATTTAGGAATTAGGGATTTAGGAATTAGGGATTTAGGAATTAGGGATTTAGGGTTGAGGGATGTTTGGTCTAGGGATTTAGGGTGTAGGGGTGTTGAGGGTTTAGGGGTGCTGATGGTTTTGGGGATTTAGTGTTTAGGGTTCTGGGGTTAAGGGTTTAGGGTCATATGTTTTAGGTTCCGAATGCTGTGCGGTCCGGAGTGGTTGTTGGGACTGGGGGCTTCCAGCCTTGCTAGTAGAAGGGCCTTAATACTTAGAATAGGGTTCTTTTAAAGGGTACCTTTTAAAGGGTTTCGTTGAGGGATACTATAAGGGATCTATAAGGGTGCCATCATATGGGTTCCTTCATATTTAATTAGAGTAGGGTCTTGGGGCCCGTTATTCTATATTCATGATAGGGAACTCCCAAAATAGTATTGGTAATTATTAAGATTCCTACATTTGTTGAGTACTTTAGCCCTCCAAACCCTTAAACCTTCAAACTTCCAAGAACGTCCCTGAACCCCCAAACGAGCCTCTAAGGAAGCCGCTGAAATGAATGCAGTAGTCAGTAGTGGTAGTAGTTGGACCTGTAACCACCGTGCATCGAGCTGTTTTGCAAAACGAAGCCATAGTCACCTTGCTTACTAGACTACTTAGTAAGGTCCCTGTATGTGTAAGTACACCCAACGTCTTTGAACCCTTTTCAACCACTACCCTCACAGAAACCCTTTATAACGAAGGACAGGTGAAGCCTGACGAAGCGTCGATTTGAAATCCTTAACACTAAATCCCAGACCCGAAACCCGAAACCCTCAACCCAAAATCCTAAACCGAATTTCAGGTATCCTGTTGGCCGGGGCAGGCTGGAGCCAGTCGGAGTCATCTCCTCGGATTCTCGTCACCGGCAGGGCAGGGCGGGGCAGAGCCGGAGCCTGATTTAGAGAACTACTGATGCGATTGATGTGGAATTTGTTGCATCTCCGAATCCCGTGCCTGATATTCGACATAGCCCCTAGCTGGGCGATAGCGATCCTTGGATCTCCGACGCACGCAATCCGCCAAATGGTTAACTCGTGGAACCCTGCACCCTGCTGCTCAAGGCCGAACCTGTAAGTTTTGTAGCCGACAGCTCGCAAGCTTCAGTTTCTGAGCCTTGTGCAAGTCGTAGCAGCAGTGGATGGAGCTTGCACCGCTGGCACCGGAACGACCGCTGCCGAGGGGGGGAAGGGGTGGGGAAGGGGGGGAGGCGGGGGAGGGGGAGGCGGGGGAGGGGGAGGGGGGGAGGGGACAGGTTTCCATTCTTCAGAAGTGAGGAACCTCTCGGCCGGGCCGTATTAAGGCCCCTATGTTATAGTACCTAGTACCTTTCTACCTTTACAAGGAACCCTATTCTAATTCAAACGCTTCGCGTCGTCCGCCTCCACCCGGCTTTAGGGTTCTTGAGGCTTTTGTTTCGTCCTTTCCAGTCCATGTCTTGTCCGGGCTTTGAGGTTTTATCAGACCTAGGTTTAGGTTAGGTGTAGGGTTAAGAGTTCAGTTTGAAACTGCCTTCGTATTGCAGCCTTAGGGGCAGGCCGCAACAAGTAAGGGTGCTGCATGAAAAATTCTGTATTCGGAGACTCTCATATATGTAGGTGTTGCAAGCATTGGCGGCATGTGATGTTTTTTCCAAGATACTTATCCCCCACGGAACGAAGGAAGTAAAGTGGAGAGCAAACAACAAGAATGGAAATAAATAAAACACGACTCAAGCGGTTTAGGGTTTAGGGCAGGGCAGGGCAGGGCAAGAGCCTGATTTAGAGCAACACTGATGCGGTTGATGTGGAAATTGTTGCATCTCCGAATCCTTTGCCTGATATTCGACATAGCCCCTAGCTGGGCGATAGCATGCTTGAATCTCCGATGCCCCCAATCCGCCAAAGGGTTAACTCGTGGAACCCTGCACCCTGCTGCCTAAAACCTTCAAGACCAAATTTCCGAACCTGTAAGCTTTGTAGCCGACAGCTCGCAAGCTTCAGTTTCTGAGCCTTGTGCAAATCGTAGCAGCAGCAGCGGATGGAGCTTGCGTTGGCACCGGAACGACCGTTGCCTGTTTGGGAAGCGAAACATGTTTTTTTTGCGCAGAGGCGTGGGGTTTAGGGGGGGTGGGGGGGGCCGTTGGGGAAGGCGAGAATTCACCGGACCTTGGGGCTCATCTACAGGTTTTCATTTTTTAGTCGGGGTCCCCCACCGCACAGTACCGCCAAGAGGGGTGGGGTCACTGGGGAAGGGATTAAGAGGTGGGGAATAGAGGGAATCCGAATAGGAACCTGTGACCGCTTCGGCCACGCCGAGGCGAATCATTAAGGCTCCTACTTTACACTGGTAGCTGACGAACCCGCTACTTATCTGGCCGTGTCTGGCCCATGAGCAGCCTGAAGAGTTTGGGGTTAGTAGGTGCATTTAAATGGTTTAGGGTTTAGAGTTTAAGATTTAGGGTTTGGAGTGTAGGGTTTAGGGTTCAGGGTTTGGGGTTCAGGGTTGGCCGCACAACGGCGGTTGACCCGCTTCGAAGAGGCATTTGGGGCCTTAGCTCCGCGTGGTGTGGGGTCATCAGCTCTTGCGCAAGGTTTCCTACCTGCTTTGGCTACGTTCTTGTCCGCTCTAACGACTTAGCGACACCGGTGACTTTGTAAGCAGGTTTACCAGTAAGACAATTATTGCTATAGCTAAAGCTAAAGCTGTTGATAGCTCCGGTCAGGTATTTCTTACGAAACAGCCTATCTCACCAAGTCCCATGTACCACTTAGTACTGAACTGCTTGAGGTCATGATTTGCGCCCTGGTCATGGGCATGGCTTCCGTGCAGGCGAGGAGTCCGTTGCTAAAGGGACGTGGGACTACCCTCTCCATTCCCGAAACCCTCAGCCCTACATCCTAAACCCTTATCATGGAGTTCAGGGTTTCGTGCCTGTTTAGAGAACTCCTTCACTTCTTCTTGGGTCAGGCTTACTAAAGCGATCAGAAGACTCAGTCAGGAGGTTGTAAGTTCAAGATGTTAGAACCAAATCTATACTTTGTTGTTTGTCTGCCTGCTTATGAAAAGGATTAGATGCCTTTGACCCGAGTCTACTTACATTGAAAACGTTGTAGAACAGCACAGTTCGGCCCGGGTAGGACAACGTAAGACTTGGCTTCCATTTGTCTTGGACTCCATTTTTCAGGGTAGGGTGGGCTAAGATTGGGGGTCTGGGTTTCGGGGTACTGCAAGTGGACCCCAGCAGCAGAGAGGCCGACTGCATGGGGAGACATCTTTCGGCCCCCAAAGCCAGGTGAAAGCCAGCAGAGCAAAAATGACGGTGGCTCCGCAATGATGGAGGTGAAGGCGGCGGTGATTGACAAAACCTCCGCTTCTTTCGTCTTTGAAGGCATCTGTCCCAACATTCCCTCGGATCTGTGGGGTGAAGGTCCTTGCAGACAGAAGTTACAAGCCTCCATCAACAGAGGGTTGTCTCTACACGTGGGCGAACAAGGAGGGCACTCTAGCTGACAATGGTGAGCTCTGTGAGGCAGGGAATTTCTTCTTCCTGCTGACTGGAGGGCGGCATCCCTACGTTTGGAACCTGGGTCGCTCTCAGATGGTGAACGGTTTGACTTCTTCCCTGGGTCTGCAAAGCAGGTTTGAACTTGCGGTCCTAGGGTCTCGGTAAGGACCTTATTAAGATATTTACACTGCCGACAATGCTTAGTCAAGCCCTCTAACGCGAGGCCCCAAAACATGCGAAAAACTAAACCACTAAACCCTAACTCTAAACCCTAAACCCTAAACCCTAAACCCCGAAGCCTGAAAGACAAACCCCAGAGACCCCCAGTCGCTGACTCTCAGCTTCGTTTTCAGGATATCTTCGGTTTAGGGTTTAGGGTTTAGGGTTTAGGGGTTTAGGGTTTAGGGTTTAGGGTCAACGTCAATAAACCCTATATAAATTCTGGGTTTTGGAGTATCATACCCCACGTTATCCAAAGGAGCCGTAGAGCCATAGAGTGTGGAATTATTTTCTCTCTGGTTGATTCAACGCCCAGATGGTTACGGGCCCCAAACCCGAAACCCTAAATCCTGATAGAATCCTAAACTCTTGATCCCTAAATCCCAAAATCTCAGTCAACCCTAAACCCTAAACCCAAATTCTCGAAGCCCAATTTCAATATCTCAGTCAACCCTAAACCCTAAAGCCAAACTCCTGAAGCCTAAATCCCAAAATCTCAGTCAACCCTAAACCCTAAAGCCAAACTCCTGAAGCCTAAATCCCAAAATTTCAGTCAACCCTACACCCTAAACCCAAACTCTTGAAGCCTAAATCCCCAAATCTCAGTCAACCCTAAACCCTAAACCCAAACTCTTGAAGCCTAAACCCCAAAATCTCAGTCAACAGGTGATCAGTCAGCACGGGGCCCGGATAGCTCCCAATCTCTGCTGCGCTGCTCTCTCCCTGCTTGACCCAAAGGGTCCAAGTGACAGTATAGATTGGGTACTGACCCCACTCAGTAACAGTTGGATAGTATTCACAATATAGATATATGAGGCCCTCGATAGTATACTATAGGGGCCTTAAGTTCATAATTCGAATAGGGTTTTGGGGTCCATTATGCTATATTTATTATAAGGAACCCACAAAATGGTATTGGTAATATAGGCCCCTGTATTAGTGTATACTTTTGGGGGCCCATATACCTACTAAGTACATACGATATCGGTACTTGGACCCTTTGGGTGAATCATCAGCGGACTTTGTCAGCAGGGTTCCAAAAGGGTTTCATCAGGGTTATCAGGGGACTTTGGCAGCGGGGGTTCTTTAATTTGCAGGTTCCAAAGTGGTTTCAGTACGGTTTCTTTGCTAAAATTGAGGGTTCTCTAGGTTCCAGGGTTTGGGGACTTAGTAAGCAGGGCTATAAGCAGGGCAACTATAGCCACATCTTTACTTCTTGCCGTAGTTTTGGTACTTGTAACTTACAGCTGGCAACCCTACGTACTACGTCCCCTGATCCTCTAAGTGTGGGGGCTGAGACCAGGATGTCCCCAACAGGGTCTGTAATATCTACTGCATCCTTTCGTGGTGTGCTATATTGGGATAGTATTCCCTTTCAGCTCCTGTGTAGACAGAGCACATGGGACCTCCAAACCCGGTTCGAATCATTCCCCCCAAACCCCGGTTCTAATCATCGAGGCCTCTACATTCGGGTTTAGGAGATTCAAGTCTTTTGGGCTTTTGGCATGCTGGGGGTGTCGTGTGTTGTCGTCTTTTGGGTGATAGTTGCTTTGCATGACTCTAGGGTGTAAGGAGTTTGAGGTTTAGGGTTTAGGGTATGTGGCTTGCTGTTTTCCGGATGCCTTCGAAGGTTTTAGAGTAGAGTTTGGGCCATACTCCAATTATCAAAGGCCCCAATGCTCTTCATGTTCTGCATTGCCGCATGACGCTGCAGGGCTCCTCAAAGCTTATACCCTGAACACTGTACTCTGAATCCTGAACCCTAAACCCTATAAACCCTAAAGCCTGAACCCTGAACCGCTATACCCTGAACACTAAATCCAAACCGCGGGGCAATTGCTTTTTCTGCACTGCGTGGGGGAGCTTTGGCTGCAGGACCCTAGGGGTTTATGCGGAGTTCTTTAAGGGTTCCCTCGAGGGTTCCTTTATTAAGGTAGCCTACAACGGTTCCTCTTTTTACGATTAGCCTTTGTTCCCTGCGCTCGCATGGTTTCTGGCACACATGCTGCAGCAGTTGGATACCTCCCGAACACTAAACTCGAAAGCTAAGCTCCTAAACCCGAAACCTTAAACCCCGAACGCTCCTTTCAAGGTCCTGCACAACCCTATACAGCCCGACAGGGCCCTGCAGAACCCTATTATGTAAAACTTTGCAAAGCCTCATCCCCATCCGAAGGTCGTCCATGAAGCTTATCAAGTACTGGGATCGTGATGATGCCCCAGCTACGGCTGCATCCCGAGAGCGTGCCGGTTTGTGGGGTTACTGCGTAGCGAGTGCTTGGTCTCGGGCTCGTTTGGACAGTTTATCGGTGCGGGCTTTAGAGCAGGCTTGATGCTTCGGGGGATTAAGGTTCAGGGGCTAGGGTTTCGGGAGTTTTCTTGTACAAACCCCTAAACCCTAAACCCTAAAACCCCTAAACCCCTAAACCCTAAACCTTAAAAAAGGGTGCACTGGCATTTCGAAGAATTTTTTCTCTGTGGTTTGTCAGAGTTTCAGGCCGGCTCAGGGTTCTCAGTAGCTTTTCCGGTTTAGGGAGCCCGAGTATGGGAGTTAGGATTAGGGGGACCCTCGGGGATATAGACCCTCTCAATAAGGCCCCTTTTAAGGGAGCCAGAAGTAGGGTTCAGAAGGGGGTACCCTTTAAGGGGTCTCCCTAATAATACTACCCAGGGTAGTAGAGATTCTGGTTATACAGTCACTACTGTTGATGGACAAAATCCTGCATTAACTTTTTATAGGAATATACCATAGTTCCCATAGTTTAAAGTCCTTAGGGTCATGCAGAATTTTGTCCATCAACAGTAGTAGTCTATAGGGCCGCAAAAAAGCACATAAGCAAAACGAAGGATAGGGATATCCCATATAAATCCCCTTATACTGAAGCCCAATAAGGTAGGGATATCCCCATAAAATGCTTATGCTTATGTGCTTTTGGGGGTCCCTAGTCTAGTGCGGGTCTCATGACTTCATTGGCTCTACACAGTATTGGGGCCTAGAATCAAGTACCAGTTTTATTCCTCCGGGCTCCTTACTACAATATAAGAGTATAGGAATCACCCTAGAGCCCTAAACGCTACTTTCCCTGAACCTTATGCCCTAACCGTAGTAAGACCTACTTTCGCCGATATAACCCTAAACCAGCAGCACAAGTGCAACTGTTGAGTAACTCCCCGTCTAGTCCTTGTTCTACAATATTCCATTCTGATTACGAAGGCCGCATTTTGGTGGTATGCTACAACCCCCGTAGCCATAGCATCATACACCCAACGCGTCCCAAACCTTTCAGTCGAGATTCCATCGGGTGCTCTGAGCCGCGTGACTTGGGGGAAGCCCCCTTTGAGAACACATTCGGCCCTCACTGCAGGTCGTAAGACCCCCTACCCCCCTCCCCCTACCCCTCTAAGGGTCCTTATTTTTATAGCCATACATACTCAGTCCCTGATACTTAACGTCAAAGCCGGCAGCACCCTAAGGGTTTCGGGCTTTAGTAAGCATATGCAAGCTTGTCGGCAGGTTTGGGGTTCAGAGTTATGTAACGTTTGATCAAAGAGAGTACCCTAAGGCGTATTGAGGGGAGCCTTGGAACCACAAAACCATAAAAACCTATTCCTAAACCCGAGAAGTCCTACCCCCAAACCCTATACCCTATCCCTCCAAGGACCTGATAGTTAGGGCCCTAGACCCCTTAAGGACCCCATAATAAGGTCCCTGGAGGCATAGGGTATATAAGAGCCCTATCCCCACACTCAAAACCCTTGAGGGCGTATGGGGCTCATTGCGTAGACCCTAAACCCTAAACCTCTATACCTCTATACCTCTATACCTCTAAACCCTAAACCCTAAACCCTAAACTGAGCCCACGAAGGCTCTGACAGAAGGTGGCGTGGAAGCCCCGGGCAGACTGGTCTTCGGTATTTCAGCCTCTGTGGGTTTACAGGATTTCAGGCTTAGGCTTAGGGTTCGCGGTTTAGGCTTTGAAGTTTAGGGTTTCCGGTCTAGGATTTAGGCTTTAAGGTCCAGGGTTTTGGCTTTAAGGTTTAGGGTTTAGGGTTTAAGGTTTAGGGTTTAGGCTTTAACGTTTAAGGTTGGAGGTTTTGATTTAGGCTTTAGAGTTTAGGGTTTAAGGTTTAGGGTTTGGGACGTCAGCTGTGTGGGGGTAGCATTTTTGCTTTTTGGCCCAGAGGGTTTGGTAGAACCACTACATAGAGCGTTTGCCGAACCCGTCTAGAAGTCTGGTAGAATGAAATCAAGGCGTGTAGAACTGTGTCGAACCCTTCTTGAAACCTTTTTATGCAACCCATAGTCAGCCTCACCTGCAACACAGCCCTAAGACAGCGAAAGGCCGCATCCAAGAGTCTCAGTTCAAGCATGTGGCATATACAGACTTATGTAATGTAGGTCCTTAACAAAGTTCCTATTAGGGTTCAAATAAAGGCTCCTTGTAATTAAAAGCTTTGAAGGGTTCCCATCAGGTTTCCTTCTCTTCAGGCTGGCCCTTCATTATCTTATGATAACCGTAAGCCCAAAAGCATCCTACGGCCTAAATCTCATCAAGAGGGGGTAGAGGGTTTCCACCTCTTCAAGACAGCCCACAGCCCTGCCAGCCAGTGTGGGCAACATGGTCTGAAGATACCCAGGGTTGCTGATGACAATGGAAGAAGTCGGAGAGACAGTCATGGAAGGCGAATGCCTAGCATCGTATGAGGACTACTGTGAGAGACAGAACCAGGGCACTTCGCTTCTGCACAGCGCAGGACGGGCAGTGCTTGGGGTTTACGCTCGGTGACGGGTATCCCGACCTGAACATGATCACATACGGTTCCCCTGTGCAACCGTCAAGTTCAAGACAGTGATGGAATTTGACTATCACAGGCGGGAATTTTCCACCATTGATGACAAGGCGATCACACCTCTTGCGGCTGAGAAGGACAGTGTCTACTCGCCAGATCATATCGGCCAGGAGCGGGCCGAAACAGCAAGAAAGGTGATCATTGAGATCCTGAGAAGGGAAGATGTGAATGACAAGAAAACTCTTGACGGCCCAAACTGTAAAGCCAAACCCCACACCCTAAACCCTTGGACGGCCCAACCGGAGCCCTAAGAAACCCGGAACCCTAAACCCAAGACAGATTCAGTTCTCATTACTAGCATGACTCGCAGCGTAGCCTGGTGCGGATCGTAATGTTGATGATGACCAAAAGCCTTTGGGCTTGGGGTTTGGGGCCTAGGGTTTGGGGGCTGCAGGTTTGGGCTTCGGGTTTAGAGCCTCAAGATTCAGGGCCTACGTCCAATTTCAATGCGAATGATGACATCTAGTCATATAGTCTTGACATTGAAGGGCCATGCAGGACTTCCTGCAACCGCAGTACTAGCACTGTCAGAGCGGATTGCTACAGATCAGCTCTTGGCCCCTGAATTATTCAGAGGGTTGATATAGGGCCGGTCGGAAGAACTGTTGAATGAAAAACCAGTACTGCTCGTCCCTCATGATTAGTTGTCGACATAGATACATTGAAGTGTGCCCCAAAGCCAGAAAGATAACCAAAAGCCCTTGATAATGGGCGGTTTGCTAAATCAGAGGACTCCAGTAAATCCTGTCATCTGGCTTGCCGTAACTTTGCTGAAATCACACAGTCATGCGGTGCTGAAGATTTCCGGGTTTAGGGTTTAGGGTTCCCGAGACCTCAGGTCGTACTCCTTGTGTGCATCGTCGTCCTCAAGGCATGTGAAGGGTCCTTTCTTGTCTCGGATTCATATGCCTGGCTTGAGATCACTTGAGGCTCATGGCAATTATCTTGAGGTTCTGTTGAGGGTGCTAGAGCCCGAGAACGAATTGCATCGTCCGCCCTCGAGGTATCCTGATCACAAGCGCAAGGGAGCAAGTAGCTCTGGATTAGACATGTTGCAACGGCTAATGTGGAGATTTGGCTAATTAGCACTAGATGCGCTTATTCAGAGTTGCTATATATACTTCTGCTATGAGATGCCCCAAGCCCCTACTCAAACTTCGGAGACATCTACGAGACGATCATATACCCGAAGCCCGTAATTATTCTGTTTACAAGCCTGCTCCTTCGAATAGTACAGGAGTCTTGGTCATGAGAACAGTACGAATTACTGATTGCACAGACCTCATAGGGTTTAGGGTTTAGGGTTTACGGTAGCAGAGATCATGACTTGACAGCCGGGAGGGTTCAAGAATCGAGGTTTTAGGCCTTGGGGTTTGAGCTCTAGAGAGCTGGAACTTGAGGGTCGAAGACTTCCGGTGTCGTGGGCCTTGGGTATGAGGTCTGTAGGGTATGCTCAACCCGGACCCTGAAACACCTACTTTTTTAGGGTTCCTTAATATGATTTCGTTTTGTAAGTCCTTCAAAAGGTAGATTCTGTAGGGTCATAGTAAGGTCCAGGACGATCCTACAGGCTTCCTGGTCGCGAAAATGAGCCCAAAGCTTAATACCCGAACCGACCTACAGGCGGCGTAGTCCCTAAACCCCAAACCTGTCGCAGCTGGAAGGATGCCCGAAACACCTACCTAGTGGTAGAGTAGGTAACCTTTAACCCTGTTTGGGTAGTCTAGTCCCTATATAATCCCTATAGAACCAAAAAGGTTAACCTTTAGTTCCCCATGATACCCGGCAAGTAGGCCTAAAGCATCCTAAACCAAGAAACAAGAATTAAACCCCAAACCCGGGAGTCGGTTCAGGGAGGCTGTTGGGTTTAGGCTTTGGGCTTTAGGCTTTTGGGCGTCGGCTTAGGGTTTAGGGTTTTAGGGTTTTGGGCTTAGGGTTTTAGGGTTTTGGGCTTCGGGCTTAGGGCTTTGGGCTTTAGGCTTTTCGGCTTCGGCTTAGGGGTGTAGGAATTGGA